AAACTAAATATCTTTAGTTGTCGAAACTAATCCTTTTTCTCAGTGTGAATACTGATACTGAATACTGATACTGAATACGTGATTGTATTGTGATCAGAACTAAATTTGAGATTAATAGGTCAACAGGAAAGGGATGAAATCCAAATTACTAGATTTTGACCCAAAAACTAACAGTACAAGCTAAATTAAACCGGTTAAAACACACATTTATATATGTACCAGGGTTGTTGCGAATATTCGCATTTGCCACCGCGGAGCTTCCGAATTAATTTTAACATTCGCATTCGCTTTCGAATTCGCAATAATCAATGCGGAGCTTTTGCGAATATTATTTCTTAAGCTATATAACCGAGCTATTAATGGGCAGTCGTACAAGTTCCCACTTCTACTTGACCTTTAACGTACGTCAAAGAGAACATTGTCCTTTTAATAATATTTTCTTTTGTTTTCTGTGCTTCAAATACCTGTACTGTGCCAGCAAATTTTTTATTTTACAGGAGAAACAAAAAACATTACAAAAATCAAATCATTAAAAAGTGGCTAACTCCGTTGTTTTCAAATTTTTAGTGAAGGTGTATTTTAATATCCAACCAAAAACTGTGTAAAACGCAATTTCGAAAAAAATGTTGGTTAGGGCCTTTGTGAATTAAGGTAACGATATATTCGTTTCACTCATTTCAAATGGGGCTCTTAGGGAATTTATTTTAGCAAAAATTTAAAAAGCAGTAATTTTGTTTACTTGTTGGGCAATATTTTTTTCATAGGGATATATATTGGATTCTTGGCTAAAAACTTCTGTGGTAAAACTCTCCCCCTACGTCTCCCTTCCTTTCTATTTAAAGTAAAAGAATAATCTCCTTCAATAGGGAATTCCAGCAGAAATGGGCAACGTCTGGCTATAAAGAGAAAAGGCTATAAGTCTGACCTTTAATTAGGTAAGAATTACGTAACTATCTGAGACCCTAATCCTCCGTGATTCCAATAATTCAAATGCTTATAAAAAACGGGGTGTTTAAAAAGAATAACAATAATGTGATCCGATTCGGCTGGCAGTCACGACTTTGAAAACAGAATTCGCATTCGCATACGCGGATGTCTAAAACATCCCTAGTATGTACATTGTACAATGTAACAACCTAAATAAACATAAGCATATATGCAAAATATACTCAAAAAAATATTAAAAATATACTTACGAAAAATATGGAAATATGCAGAAAATATGCAGATATGCAAAAAATATACAAATATGCAAAAAGTAAGCAAATATGCAAAAAATATGAAAATATACAGATATGCTTAGGCGTAAATCTTGTTCATTTTCAATGCTACGAACTTCTGTATTGGTCCGGGATCTCTTGGATGCTAAACAAAAATTCAACAACAATTCATAGAATTCCGATGTCCAATTATCAATAATGGAATTATTGTGAGTAATCGTGGAAGGAAATTGGAAAATTTCCAGCATGATACAAATATTTAAAACTAACACCGCTCGCTCAATTCGTGATTACACTCTCTCGAAATGATTCAAATGTCAAATAAATACAAAATAAACACATGAATATTTATGATTTGAATATTTATTTATTCAAATGTGGGAAAAACTTAAAAATTTAGAAAATAAAAATGAGTTGCTGCTTTAGCGGCTGCCCAAATTCCGTTTTCCTCTACAAGCAAAGCAATCTAAAGTTCTACAAGTTCCCGAAATTATCGTATTTACAGCAAAAATTGATCGAGGTGTGTGGTGTTACGGAAGCGGTTTTTCCAAGTGCCCCTGTTTGTGCTAGGCTCATTTTTTGCCACACCACCGGACCCAATGTAAGCACAAGATAGTTCTTTGCAAAAGTGCAGTGCCTTTAAGGTAAAATATCTTTGAGTGCATGCCAAAATCTTCGCCTTAACATGCGGGCAGAAGTCCATTACAGACAATTGCTTCCATTTATTTATTTACATATGCATGTATATATGTACATATGTACATTCAAATTTTGTTGTTTCGACAGAAATATATTTCTTTGGTTTGAGCAAGGTACATTGAACAGGTAGTATCAGTAGAGCAGCTGATTTGATTCATTTTCAAATTATTTGGTCTCGAAAATGTCAAATATTTTTAATTTTTTCTCACAAAAATTCTGAATTGTTAAAATCCATTTGCATGTGAAACCTTTTTCAATACAAAACAAGCGATTGAATAGCAGCTTTTGGAACGTTCGCCCAACTCAGCAGCACAACCGCTGATTACTGGCCCTTGTAAAGGATGGATCAATGCTTCGAGAAGCAAACAAATTTACTAGGAAAGAAAGTTGCAACAATTTTTATTTTTTCCAATTTCAATTTTTTATTTTTTATAATTTTTTGTATTTCACATGGCACGCTTTGATTTAGAAGAAAAAATTCAGAACAGTTTTTGACACTTTCGATACCAGAAGCAACAACAAAATACACGCAAATGTTGTTTTTGCTCTACTGATACTACCTGTTTAATGTGCCTTGGGTTTGAGTGAAAATAAAAACAAACAAACGATGGCAGCGAGAGAAAATTTCAAAATGCTAGCAAACGTCAAAATTCCTAAAGTTGGCTCTCAGCGATTGTACCTTATAAATATTTTTATCATGATTTCCAGTAACCATCAAAATATTTATTCAAAATCATGATTCAATTCATGATACAAAAAAAGAAGGTAGTTTCACTTTTAAATTTTTTGACATAAACTGTGCTTACTAACGTTTCTACTTTTCGTAAATTGTTGCGGTAGCACTGCCACCTAATCAAATTATTATTTTGGAAACTTTAATATTTTTAAGGAATTTTTATTTCATTAAAAAGTAAGTTGTAACGCACGAGGTAAATATACTTACATGATTGTTCGTATTAAAAGAGCTTGATTTAAATTGCTATAAATGCAAGACACACCAGCAATTTAGCATTGGGTAGGTTCAGAAGGTGCAGAAGTTGAGCGCAACCGTTGCTAAAAAAATCAATGATCGTAATGCGTCTTGATACATTAGACACAACACGTTGTCGAAAAATTTTACGATCATCTAACACGCAACTGTTCAGTTGATCAGAAGTACAAAACAACGCGTTCAGAAGGTGCAATCGCAACAGTTACTGAGCTGTTGCGCCTTCTGAACGTGCCCATTATCTTTAACATGATATATTATATGCAGTTGGTCCTTTAAGAAACTAAGTAGGATGTTGCTTTATTTCGGATTCTTGGGAATCATAAACTCCTTTGTGATAACGCATGATGTATAGCTCCATGCATCTGCATGCATACATTAGTTTTATTATGCGTTTACATTTATACATTTGTATATTTACACTAGCAGACCCGGCGAACTTCGTTGCGCCCAAAATAAATTTTTTGTATTGAAACATTTTGGTCTAACATTTTCACCAACAGTTCACGTTCATGATTTTCAGTGACGCATTACGGTTTGGTGGTTGTTCAGCTCCGTCCAAATTGGGAAGGACCTCTCCGCGCCGTTTGAGACCAAACGAGGTTTTAGACAAGGAAAGCGTAATAAGAGCTGCCAATCTGAATCGCAGCGGCACCATATATAGCAAAAGAACGATGCTGCTGTCGTATGCAAATGATATCGATATCGTAGGTCTGAAACAAAGGGACGTAACCGCAGCACTTTCCAGTTTAGAAAAAGAAGCTAAAGAGGTTGGTCTAGCGGTGAACGAGGGAAAGACAAAGTACCTCCTGGCAACATATAAAGAGTCCACGCGCTACGGGACGCACGTCACTGTTGGCAGATATAACTTTGAAGTAGTGAAGGACTTTGTCTAGCAGAGCCCTCTCTCGACGAACGAAACTCAAGCTCTACAAATCTCTCATCATGCCCGTCTTTTATATGGCGCAGAATCTTGGACGATGTCGAACAAAGATGAGAAGGCTTTGGGGGCTTTCGAGAGAACTATTCTACGCAAAATCTACGGCCCTGTTTTCGTGGATGGCGGATATTGGAGAAGATGGAATGACGAACTGTATGAGCTTTTTAACGACATGGACATAGTTAAGCGCATAAAAATACAGCGATTTCGTTGACTTGGATATGTTCTACGCATGGATGACGACTCTCCGGTGAAAAGATCCTTCGATTCCGCACCCATGGGTGGACAACGAAAGCAAGGGCGCCCACGAACGCAATGGAAGGACTAAGTGCAGAAGGACCTGTCTGCGCTCGGGATAACCAACTGGCGCAAATTCGCGCAGGAGAGAAGCAATTGGAGAAGCTTTTTGGTCTCGGCCCAAACCGACAAACGGTTGTAGTGCCAAATAAGAAGAAGAAGAAGAAGAAGAAGGTTGTCAGAAGGCATATTTCCATTGCCGTCTTAAATAACCTGGCAAAACTGTACATGTGTACAAAGAAACGTACTAGTTTCAGTGCGCTTGAAAGGCGCCACGCCCCCTTTTCAAATAGACCCAATTTTCTCTAAGAGTATGGGATGGATTTCATATATCTCTATACCATTTTCGAGTAATCTACCATGGGAGGCGCCACGCCCCTTTTTCTTATAGCCCCAATTTTTCTTCATGACCACGCCACTGATTTTATATATCTTGTGCATACCAAGTTCCAGTACTCTTCCATAAACACATCCAGAGATATGGGAGGTGCCACGCCCCCTTCACCTAGCGGTATGAAATATACTTTACATCCGATTCTCATACCTACCATATATACACAAAAAATTTCATAAAGATCGGTCGAGTCGTTTAGAAGGAGTTCGACCACTAACACCGTGACACGAGATTTATATAAATATATTAGATAAGCACAATGCGAGAAGCATAGAAAAAATTTCGAT